ATTTGGGTTAATTTAGTTTGTGAGTATAAAGATCATTTATTAATCTATGTATTTAAAATCTGCAATTCATGTTTATAAATATTTACTCATTAAACAATCTTTTTACTTGGGTTAATTTAGTCGGTGAGTATAAAGATCACTTGCATTAGAGCTAGTGATCCTGGCCGATAGTGAAAAATTCGGCTTAGCCGAAAAATCGGCTTAGCCGGTCGATTTTTTTAAAAATCGGCTAATCGATTTTATTATGACATTCCTAAAAATTCCAATGTAGAAAATGAACGAACTTAATCTTCCAAAGGATTCCGAAATTTTAATAAAAAATTGACTAAGCCGGCTTAGCCGATAAAATTTTATCGGCTTAGTCGGTCGAAAAATTTTGATCGGCCAGGATCACTGATCGTAGCTAATACGTAATATTTATTTTTCCATAAATATTGCAATACGATTGGTTACTTTAATATCAGATATTGGTATAATACGTACGATATTATTCGAGAATAGAAAACCTTGCATCGTATCTTTTGAACGAACCCTCAGTTACACTATCTTTTGTACACGTGACATAAATTTACGCGACTCACTGCAAAATCGAATTGAATATAGTATAACTTTTCGTTTTAAAGACCAACTTAATGAAGCTCAATGACCTTACAAAACTCTACCAGAAGAAGGTTGAAACATACCTTAAAGGAGCTAAAGTGTATATAATGCTCAACGGTGACACGCATTTTGAGCCAGAAAATAAAGAAATAGAAGAACAACAGAAAAAATTTAGAGAACAAGTTGAAAAATTTATTAAAAACTTTGGTAAAGAAGCCTCAGACTATATAGATAAAAAAATTAAAGAATTCATTGAGACACACGGAGGTAAAAGACCTTCAAAACAATGGGAAAAGGAACAACGATTTTCATTCGTTGAAGAAAGAATAGCAATCCCTATTGAAACATTTAAAGAAAATTTTTTCAAAAGGTTTCAATATGAACCACAAAAACATCATCTATTAAAGTATATCGACTATGGTGTGAAGCATTTATTTTTTGAATCATGGAAAGAGTATCATATTAAACTCTCTAATAAAAGTAAAAAGAAAGGACACGAACAAGACAATAATGGAGTTATCAATCGATACGGATATCACGAGGATAATCCACCAACACGTCCAATAAATCCTTTTAAACAAGCGCAAAAGATTGGAAACGAAAAATTTCGACAACGTCAATTAAGACAAGAAAGCAACAAGAGCTTAGTCAATCCATTTAGACAAGCACAACAAAGCGTACAAGATAAAACTAAACAAACAAAACAAGATGATACTCCGGTAACGGAAGGAACAGCTGCATTAGCATCTGTTGATAAATTCAAACAAGAGCCAAAACGAACATTCAAGGATGATATTGAAGAACAAATATTTTCAGCGCTTCAAGATGCACCAGATTTTGTGCAACGACAACAAGGATTGATCTCCCAACCGAAACCTGTAATTAATATTATTGATGATGGAGAAAGTTGGCAAGAAAAAATTAAAAAAACAGGGTATGACCCTAGAAAGGATCCCATTATCATACCTTTTATAACTAAGCTCGTTGAAGAGGGAATCGAGATTCCAGGCATGAAAGGCATAGAAGTTATTGATGATTTTATTTAATATATATTTAATAAAAAAATTTTATTTTTAGTATTTCTCTGCACAAATTAATAAGATAAATTTATAATTTACTGTATCAGTATACAGCAATTTGGCTTTATTGAATCAAATAACAAATAATAGATATATAGCATATATGTTTGATATTAATTAACTTATAAAAATGACTCTTTGTATTTAGAGTTAGAATATTTTTTAGATTAGAAAAATCGTGCTGATTTCTAGAATGCTTATAATAGCGATAGTGAATTTATTTACGGTATTTAAAATTCGTATTATTATTATTTGAGTCTATTTTTTTTTTTTGATCACAATAAGGGATAGAAAACATTTTTTACCTAATGATACCGAAATTTTTAGAGTCTCTGAGACAGTTCTGCAATTATAGACTTTATAATAATATCAGAAAGATATAATCATCATGACATCTATTCTAATCTATAATAATTTTTCATAACCAAAGAATACATGAGATAACTAATAAAATTGAATTCATCTATAAAAACTAATAATGACAATTGATATTATGAAAGTCTTCTCGCTTTACATTTCCCTTCTCTTTTTCTTATCTCTATCATCCTCAATCACATTGTTCTCATATCTTCGTTTATCCTGTTCCTTTTGTTCTAATTTATTTCTTTCATTTTCTTTTTGCTTTTTCAATTTTTGATTTTCCCTCTCTTGCCTCCTCGCTTTTCTTTTAGCTTTAATTTTGCAACTATAGCAACGACATTCCCCATCAATTCCATCTTCCTCGCTCTCCGTTTCACTCACTTCAGTATCATCATCATCATTAGTTGAACTTTTCTCACTAGAACTACTACTACTACTACTAGTAGAACTACTTTCAGGCAATGCAGGAACTGTTTCCAAGGCATTAATCCTATTTACCAAATTTCGATAAAAGTTTTTATTGTGTCTTGTACCTCCAATGGTTGACAATCGTATAATCTTTGATAAGAGCTTTTGTGCTAGTTTAGGGCGTGCATTTCGAGTACGTAACCAAACTTGTTCAATGGAAGTTGGAGAACAGAAATTCTGTGTGACAGCAATTGTAAAATCTAAAAACGAGTTAATTACGTTTATTATATGAGTGCATTCATTATCCTTAGTGTTCCTAGGTTCAGTTCAGTTCAGTTCAGGTTCATGAACCAGGTTCATTGAACCTAAACTGAACTTCAAATTTTGCAGATTATTGAACCTGAATCTGAACTGAACCTGAACTTAAAATTTGGTTCAGTTCAGGTTCAGTTCAAAGTTCATGAACATGTTCAGGTTCAATAT